TGCTTAGCAACCTCCCGCGTGCATCCATAACTCAATAGTACACGCTATGGCGTTTACCATTTGTTAAAAAAGGTTATCCCGTGCGCAAGTGACGATTGAACAAAGATGAAACTTCTAGTATTTAACTGATTGGGACTTTGACTTTTGCAGTAAACCGTGGAACAAAGAAGACGAGGATTGTGTTGTTCAGCAAGTGATTTAATGAGTGCGGTACCCTCCCTCTGTTAAGAGTGCACTTTTGAAAAATGTACATAAGCGCGCGAGGCCTGCTGTTCTTGTTCTTGTTCTTGTTTTATTTTTGCCATTTATAAATATATAAATGCTGGATGAATACGTTAACTTACTGTATTCCATGAACGACCAAACCAATGTAAAAGATGACAAACATATGATGATTGTACCAAAATACTTCAAAGTACGATCTCCTACAGAAAACAAAAGACATTGAGAATTTACCCACGTTGCCTATGAGAGATCAACTACCTTGTCAGAACTCAACAGAAAGCAATTCTCAAATTTAGATCTAACAGTGATCTCAACTGAACGCCAAGAGAAGTAACATACCTTATAAGTTCCGTCGAGGAAGAAAGCTGATGACATAACAGAGAAAAAGAGATCAATCTAAAAATGAAATTATTATTAAACATCTAAAACCCTCCTTACACTAAACCAGAGAATTAAAATACTGACTATAATACTTCCACTAAAATCTGTCTTAGAAAATAAAATTGTATTTTTTTCCCCCTTTCGATTACCGCATACTATGTGTATAACTCAAAGTATCGAAAATTGTATTAACTCACTTAGCTTTTAACATTAGTTTGGAAATGGCCATTTCTTATTGACAAATGATTTAACAAGTCTGCAACAACTGTGTTGCATGATGCCTCGAGTTAATGTCTCAGGGATGAAAGCATTTGTTTTGAGGAAACCATTTTAAATATTAAGCTTTCTCGGAAATTCTGGATCTTTTTGTTGAAAGTGTGGTTTTTGAAACTCGTAGCTTGTAATTCTGTGCAATTACGCGAAGGTCTTTCCGCCCAGCTGTAACAGAAGAAAAAATGCCTGTTCGGTTCGACAATTTATAACACGTTTCGTTTTCGACTTACCATCAAAATAAGGCAAAGAGTAATCACAGCTCCTGTTATTCCGGACGCTACAAAAGACAAACATGTAGGATTTCACAAAAAAATTACAAGCAAGAATCAGAAACAACCAATAGCCACGCATTTTGTGTAAGTTCAAAAAGTTCAAAACCATCTTCAGAATAATAATCAGCTTTCAGCGTAGGAATGGGTTGGATAAGTCTTCCCTAAAAGCCAAGTGGCTTCATAATTGGCTGTTATGTTCTTGAAAGGAAACAAGAAAATTCCCGTATTCCTAAAGCTTGGTTGGCTAGCCTGCGAGCAGGCCCAGCTTTGAGTCAAAGGCGCGAGCGAAGAGATCCGGCGGGGAGGAGTCTGGTGCGGAAACGCCTAGAGAGGTTGGGATGCAAGTCCACAGGCAATGTTTAAAAGTATTTAGCGATTTGTTGAACCCATTCAATTTGTCTTCGAGATCACAACTGTTATGAGACTGGAGGTTATGTAGCAACAACTTTCAAATCCAAATAGTGCATTTAAAATCCACCACCTTAGTTCACGTCTTACGTTTAACCCTGTTGGTTATGCTTTTGCTTTTCACACCACGACTACGGATAAGAAATATTTAAAGATGTGCGACACAAGCGCAGAGCAATTTCATCGGTCATTAATTCTTTTTTGATGAGATATTCACGTGATAATATTCATTACGTTACCTAATTTCCACAGCTCAATCACTGGCACCTAATAAAGAAACATCCAAAATCAAATTCAAGCACAGAGAAGTCCATGACTCGATTTCCATTAATACTACACTCGACATGCAGTAAAACTTTAGATTTAGTCCTTATCAGAAGCTTAAACAAACAAAATTAATCCTACTTACCGCGTTTGTGTCCCTTATTGGGTTTAGATAAGCTTCGTTGCCGATATCTTCCATATTATTCAGTCTCTGAATGAGCGTGTCGTTGCTCTTGTGCGAATCAACAAAAAACTCCACATTAAAAACGTGAGCCACAATGTGGATGGCTGTCGAAATAATTAAACGGCACAATTGTTAAACAAAAAAATAATTTAGAAAGAAATTGTTGACAAAGCTACTATTTTCATTTCTCACTGCTTTCTGTATATTCTGAACCTTTTGCCATATGTGTATGTCTGTGCTCGATTGTAAACCTTCTTTACCAGTTGGTAAGAAAGTAATTAACCTTACCATTATATGGCTTGCTCTGTTAACGGGCAAGATGAACTAAATTCTGCGCTGTGATCGGCTACCCGCGAGGGCAACATGGCGCTATCTTACCCGCTCGGGATTACGCGCCGTGTCCCGCAAGAAAAAAATGTCTTTTATCCCTTATCGACAAAACGTGGGAGGTCAAGATGGCTGGATATCGGCCTCGTTCGTTTCTTGCGTGTTATGTCCGTCTCGGTCCATAAACACCTAAGAAAAGAACTTGGCCAATATCCAGCCACGTTGACCCCACGCTTGTTCAATAACACAAACATCTACAGTGAGGTACGAATTGCTTTTTGTACGCTTCCTTCAAATCGAATAAAATGGACATTCAGTCTAAGCGTCATCCAGGAATAAGTCTACGATCAACTTTGAATTCCGAAAATTTATCACAGTTTCGAAGAGATTTCCAAAGATCACTAACAGAATATGCCTTACATGATAACCACGTCTGCTGACAGGGTCACCGCTGGTTGGAAATGATGGATGGATGGAGGACTGTCTGTTGCACGTTTGTCAGTAGATTTATCGTAATTTTCCACATCCGTGAATCACGAAATGTGAGATGCCCAATTGCTGGTCTGTGAACAGGATTCCGGCGAGGGCGACAAATCATTCGGCGACCGAAGCAAGCCGACGAGCGTGGAAAAAAAAACTGCACATCACTCGCCCTAGACTACACTCGGCTAGCTAGCCCTATACCCCAATCGGGAGCCTGTTCTGTAATAATTTTTCAGTTGCGCTACGTAGCTACAGTTGGACCTCGCTAATTCGAACTCGGTTATTTCGAATTCCCCGTTATTTCGTACTCAAAACCATTTCTCTTGGACTTACCCGAGCTCCACGATTTCGAATTACCATTTTTTGTTTCCCCAGAGAGCTCAAAATGGCGTTGTTCAACTGTATTTTTATCTCGACTTATGTCAAACTTTAGAAGAAGCAGCCAAAACGCATTTACCTGTTTGAAAACATATCATGTATGCAATGTACTTGTGAAACGTCATGTGCTTATCAAGAAGGCGAAGAAAGCTATGCCCACACTGCAAAAAACGTACAAAGAATTGTTACTTCTTGTAGACACACGTCGAATAACAAGGACTGTTTCAAAGCGTACCTACCCCCAAACCTCTGATGGACGACAGAAGATTTCTGCACATGGTCAACAGAATAAGCATACAGTTGAAATTTAACACCGCTGCCGATGCTCTTGCGAAAGCCAACCCCTCCTGTAGAAACACATTATAATAATTACAAATAACACAAATCTAAAGCGGGTTTCATCTGAGCGTCGAAGAGTAAATGGTTTTGCATCACTTCGCTACACGATTGGCTTAAAAATCCCGCAACACTCGTCCAATCAGAAGTAAATCCAAAATCGATCTTGACTCGCTTGCTCGCGTTTTCCCGCGCTTCGCGTTAGTCATATGTAATTAGTTCGAGTTTTGATTGGTACACCGAATTGCCTGTGACCTTTGTGATTGGCTAGAGTAATTACTTTGGGTTTGGTTCCACGACACTCAACTGGAAACCGTTCTATTATAAATTTTCGTAATTGCTTGGTTCTTAAATAGATGTAACATGTTCTAGTTTTTACCAAAAAAATATGTCCAGACAGATAACAAAGTGTCTAATAAAAGGCGCCCCATAGAAAAACGTCTAACATGGTAATTATTAAGTCACCGTGACTCGCTCACATATTGACTCACTTCAAAATATTCAATTTTTTTTTATTTCGATTTTCCCCCTCCAATTCCGACGTTGATATCATTAATGCCATTACAATTATTTCAAGGAAAATAGAGGGTTTTGGTTTGTGCTTTTTTTTATTACTAGAATGCTTTTTTCAACAAAATAAGGGGTGGATGATAAGACTATTAATGAAAGAGGTCTCGATATTTTTTTCCCTTCAAACCTGCAATAATTTTTTTCATGCCTGTTCGATATTTTTCAGTTACTCCGCAACCGTTTTCTGGATATCTGAAGTGGTCACTCGATATTTCTGGGAGAATTTGACCAATCTCACCAAAAATAATCCAATCCAATGGTTCACTCCTTAAGCAATTCGAATCTTTCATTCTATTCAACTTTAAGGTCATTCCCAGTTTCTTCGACGCTTAACAAACGACGGACTTGACGAAATGTTTGCAATCTTTTTAAGAGTCCCAAAATTCATGTTAGACGTTGAATAAAACCTTAATATTCACCTTGACAATGACTCGCAGATAGAAGTTGGTTTTGGATGTTTGGAGGGTGATGAAGGAACTGACAAATAAATATATATTGACGCCCATCCATGCTAACTATAAAGAAAAAAAATCATAAAATACAGTTAACAATTAGAACATGTACAATTACCAGTTATGTAACGCTTTCGAGTGGTACAACATGGGATATCCCACATTATTATCCAACTGCAGCGAATACCGTCCAAATAACAGTACAAATATACCGCGATATTGTTCAGTTATTTGTACAGTAGAAAACCTATTTGCCGCACAGGTCGGCGCGCGCATGCAAAACTGTCACACTCCCTGTCTTTTTATTGATAAATTTATTGACTACAGCAGTTGGATAATAAATCTCTTATTAGATGTTTTGGTGTACAGGATCGTTTTATATTTCTACTCGTTGTTTGTATTTTGACTCGCCCTACGGGCTTGTCAAAATACGGCACAACTCGTAAAAATATACAGCGATACTACCACACCGAAACATCTAATAAGATATATATACCCTCGTACGATGGAAGTTTGGGTGAAATACCGTGGAGTGTACGACGGTGTTCTTGTATTCTGATAGGTTGTATTTCAATAGCATGGTATAAATAAGTGTATACACTGAGGCATGAACGTGGAGATTACAATAATATTAACCATTATATGTAACTGACTGCAAAGCTGACACAAAATGAGAGATGTTTAAAACACAATAAGTCCACCCTTTCATCGGTGTCAACTTCGTGTAACCACCCTAGCTTTATTTCAAACGCATCAAGCTGGGATACGAGTGGAGCGCGTCCTGACTCTTCGAACGCGCTACCGACGACTCGAGGCTCGAGTCTCCGAGATTCCCGGCTCTGTACTCAGAGCGTCACAAAAGCTTAAAAGTAGAATATTTCGTTGATTTCGTTGATTTCGTTCGGTAGTCTATCACAGCCATTGTTAGAAACTAGAGTAAAGGATCCTCTGTTGAAGAATTCGTCGGCTGTTCATTACATTCAGTGGATTAACAAAACAAACGTTCTTTCCATAATGAAAGGGCAACACTTTCAAACGGCGCCGCTTCAAGGGAGGCAGTTGAAATCCGGTGACGGAAGCCCTCTTTGAACAGACACAATGGCTTCAAGTTAGCTGACATCTATGACAGGAGCTATTTTTAAGCCCCCCTCGAGACCCTCATGAACATTACATAACCTTCTTATTCGCATTTTTGTTGTGGTTGAAGTACCTTTATTGCGCTCTGACTACAGGAAATTATTACATATTTTAATGACGATTCCAGAGCAGAAAACAATATTTTTGATAGACTGACGAAAATTGCTGGTTGCGTTGTTGCTTCCTCGTCACTTCCTGTTTTTCAATCTCTCTTTTCATCTTCCTGTTCCGTTTGTCTCTTCAACCTTATTTAAGCAACTCGTTTTGATCAACTTCCTGTTCCCATTTGACTCTCTTACCTTATTGCAACAATCGTTTTGATCAAATGTCTTGATCTATATCCGCTAAATCAACCCAGCCGCGGACAACTTGACAATTGCAGGGACAGACTAGCCCACGAGGCGACCACAAAATTTTGAACCTTTCTTTCATGTGCCAGAATTGTTTAGATTTTCAGAAGGAAGCACGGACCATTCCAATACAGTGCCTTACGTCACACAACAAGTAGAAAATATTTATGGTTCAGACTTCTTCGCAAATTGTTAACGAAACAAAAACTGTCTTCACCATAACTGTACAGCACGAAACGATGTCTTGCTTAGGAATAGCTGCGCAGTTTATTGAGCCATTCATTGTCTTAGAAATGAATTGCTGGCGTTCATTTGCCGGTTAAGAATGGAATTAGTAAAGAAGTTCAATATCCACAGGGAGTGAGACCAATATCGGCTAAAAAAATATTCTTGCCACCAAACTTTCTTTCAATAATTTTGAACTTTCTCGACATTGTTCATGGAAAGAATGCGACTCAATCACATCGCTTTAGTTAAGCGTTGATGAGTTCGTGTACACGCGAGGTGCACAGCGCTTCAATCGAACCTCCATTAAATCCCGCAGTGAATTGCAGCATTCAAGTTTCGTGCATTTAATTATATTGATGCCTGCAAGCAGCGCTAAACATAGATTTGAGACTCTCTGTGGTTAGCAATTAAAGTTTGGCTTCGGTTTTCTCAATAACACGAGTGATTTCAAGAGTTTAAAGTACACACATAGCAACATTGATTTATCTCATTTATGCGTGTGAGAACGGGACGATCGAAGAGTGAAAACGAATCATCCGTTTGACAAACAAAAACATTTCCCGATCACTATTTACTGAACACACAACATATTGCGCACAAAAATCTGCGATAAAAACAAGCCTTGACTCAACTTATCTCACGTCTAGAAAAGTTGCAAGCTTTTAGGAAAGGAGAAGCTTAGCTTCCGTGAAAGATAAGAAAACCGAACCACTTCTTAATTGTTAGTGAGCGGTCATTATCAGGGAGTTAAACAGCTACAAAAAAATCAAACGACTTACGATGACTAAGTATCTTCCCAGCTCATTCCTTACAGCGAATCCTGCCATTGTTTCCCTACTGTCTTGTCGAAGTAGTTTGAGCTCCGTTTAGTGCGAACGTTGGGTAGAATATCGCGGAAATACGTGCCGTAGCTCTGACCTAGAAAATTGACATACTGTTAATAATCAATTTGGGATCAATGCGTTACATTTATAAACCGTCACGCTCGGCTGGACACTCGTCACGCACTTAATAAATAGCTATGGAACTCGTCCCCAGACGTGTAACCTCCTTCGTCGCAGGCATTAGCACGTCACGTGATCGTAGGGGAGGAGGGCGTGACCATCAAAAGGCCGGGATTGACTACGTCAGGAGTCGAGTAGGAGAGCGGAAGGGTTGTTGAATGTTGCTATAAACAACCAAAAACAAAACATATCCTGACTTCAGAAGTCTACTCCTTCCTTTGTTTCACGTGCAAAAGTGTGAAAAAAAGGAAACTGCAGACTTTTACATGCAGACCAATTGTGGCAGTCTCTGTGTAGATTGCATGAAATGTCGGCCACTTTGCATCATGCTGATGGTGGTCTCTCACTGGTTTCCGTTCCAGTCTATATTTGGGTTCCCATGCACGAATTTTCCTGATGTTTACAATACACTGTTGGGCCCAGTGACGCAAAGCTATAGTAAATTAGTATTACCACCGGGAGATGACGTCATCAAGTCATTCAGTTCTCATCGGGCAATACCGAACGTTATCCGCCCCCCACTCCGCCCCCCGCTGCCATCGGCCTGAAACTTTGCACGATGTGTATTTGTTTAAAGACGTCATCATGACTTTGTGTTCATGCTTATTACAAAGGTTAAACTGCTGTTTCCGGAACAATGCTCACTGCTTGCCATAATTATAAACAAAGGCAAAACTTTAGAAGTCACAATGTGGCAGATGAAACAAACGCCAAGAATAGAGCGAAGAAATAAATATATCCTCTGTAGTGGTTTAGAGTGAAATTCCGGTTTTGAGGCCAAAAATAATGTTTCGATTCAGTGAACCGTTGGGCAGCTTAATAGCTGTACGTTTCTAAAAGTTACTTTACTCGTCTTTTCGCGCACAGTGTTAAGACAGTCGACCAGTCCGTTTAATAAACCTTTAGCAAGCCTGATTGCGAAATATACTAAATTAATTTATTTTTCTTTGTGGTCTAATTGCCTTGTTTGGTGTGTTCCCTGGGGCTACAAACAAAAATACGTGCTGTGTGGGTTCGTGTTTAAGCAAACCGTCTGTGCATATGAATGCGCGAGGTGATCATTTGTATCAATCTACTTTTCATGATCCAAATACTTGTATAGCATCATGTTCTATTACTGGTAATGCTCGCTGTATTTAGGCTGAGAGTCATTATAGCACACCCGCATACATAGTTTCTTTTGTTTATCTGGTTTGTTTGCAAATAAATCAGGCCATAGTTTCCTTTTAACTAATGTATTTGTTCATTTTTAGGACTCAGCTTTTTATGTGATATTATTACGTAACCGGCAGAGAAGTGTAAAATTTTAGCCTTAACATCAAGTGACGAAGCAAAATGAACACATTTTTTATTTATATCCCGTGACATTGCATTTTTAGTTCAAAGAAATTAATTAACAGGATTGTTAGCTTTACAAACCAATAAAATTGCGGTAAGGGTCCATATTATATTTCTTTTGTATTCTTTCTTTGTTTCCTTTTTTCAGTGATATTGGTATTTTCACGATGGGCCTCAATAGAAGGCAAACGTGACATGTGTTATATAACACAATTCAAACTAATTAGTAAGATGGAAATGCTAATTTCCTTTGCTTTCTTTTTAACTAAATGACTTCAGGGACGTCGACCGGTCGTTCGTTTTCACCGCTAGTTTTTATCATCAAAAGAAATATGGTTGGAAAGTTAATCAGCATATAGGCCTAGTTCACTTAATAAGAAATGTCGTCATGAAGTGTGTTATCTGCCAACAGTAACCGTCAACAGTTTTATAATTTATTACGTAATATCTTCCAAGCACGTGACATTCCTGGCGAACATAAAGATCAGTTTGTTTGAAGTTTCATTGAAAAAATTCTTAAGCTGTTTCAACTAAAGGCAAAACTGTTAATTGACTAAGAAATTTACAAGTGGTCTTTTTGTAGTTTCGAGTCGTGTCCGACGTTAGGCGATCGCTTTTTCGCCCCAAATAAAATTATTTTCTGTTAAACAGGAGTGGCCATTTAACATCAAGTTTAGCGAGTTAATACCAATATACATACATTACATAACATCGGTTTTGTGGCACGAGCAACGCTAGGGAACACAAAGACCAGTTTGTTTGAGGTTTCATTGTAAAAATTCTTAGGCTGTTTCAACTAAAACAAAACTCTCAATTGACGCCGGAGAAATTGCAAGCTAAAGTGAGTTTTCTTTGTAGTTTCGATCGAACCGTGTCCAATGTTAGGCGAACGCTTTTTCGGCCTAAATAAAATGATTTTCTGCTGAACCGGAGTAGCCATTGAACATTTAAGCAAGTTATTCTGGAAGCCTTTATCGCTCCTAGTTGAAAGAACTTTTTGTAATGACACTGTGCTGTCTCCGTATTAAGCAGATACCTAAAACTGGACTGGCGGGAAGTAGATGATATGCCTCTATAATCTTTGATCTCTTTTTTTTTTTAAATATTAGAACTATGTAAACACAATATGTTTAACTAAACATATCTTTACCTTAACACCTGAACTTTTTTGCTTCGCAGTTCCAGTCTGCGATGAACTACAGTTCTTTGAGCTGGTTTGTGTTTTTCGGTATGTATTCACTGTGTGTGGCTTGAATTCAACTGACCATTTCCCGTGACCGTCGCACGTATAAACACAAATATCACTTGATTGACATTCAGTACAATCCATCATATAAAAGGTCCATGATAGGCTTGTTTTTATTATAATTACCTTTTTTTAGAATTATAACAAGTTGTTTGCTTTCTACAAGCAGTGTGCAGTAACACTATTTAAAGCAAGAGATATCACCCAAAAAAATTTTTTAGCAGTCTTTGGAAAGAAAAGTGGAATCAGGACTGACTGGAATGTGATGAAATGAAATTAGGTACAAGGCATTGATGCAAAACTTAACACTTTGCATTCGAATATAGTATTGGAAAGTTATTGAGTATGAAATGAAATGAGACTGATAAACGTAAGAATAACTGAATAGTCTTGCAAAATTGGTGGTTTTTGGGCAATGCCAAGAGATTCATAGAAAAACGAATGTATCTTTTTTTTTTTCGTACATTATTTGACTGCTTCTGTTTATTACTGCATGACATACAAGTCTGTTGATATTACAGACATCTTATCTTAGCGTTATCTTCATTCCTTCCCACACTTCAGAGGTCTTAATACGTTCATAAAGTATCTTTTTGTCGACTGTTTGTCTCTTTGTTGACAGTTTAAAAAGTACGCGATATTAAGATGACGTGACAGAACTATTTTTCTACAAAATTAAAACTGTTGGTGGTTTTCATGTTCCTGCTGCGAGCGCTTTCATATCATTCAGTGACACAGCTGTTTTCGCGTCTGGTCCCGAAAACGGCTGTGTCAGGCAAGCCGTTTGAAAATGCCTTAGCAACCAGGGAGCCATACTATTGGCTAGTTATTTTCCAAACGCATCCATGCACAAGAGTGTATGGACTGCTATGTCATACTCTGCTAGCAAAAATTCATCAAGGAGGCAATCAAAAATTCACAGCCAGAAATCCTCGTTAAGGCAAATAATAATTGCACGGATAGTCACAAGCCAGACAACTTCTAGAGTGTATCGTTCTTTCAAACCTGTTATACACCTACCGTTAAGCTGCATGTCATTTATTTTAAATAAACCGAGTTTTCTTCTCAAGCAATTAAATCCAATCTTATGGTTTAATTGCGTCCCCTAGCTTGTTGTATGTGAATGTATGTAAATATGTAAATATGTAATTTGTTTACCGACGGGGCACCAAGGAGTTCACAAGAACTCGTTCTGAAATGCCCGTGCATTACAGGACCGCATTGGAATTTAGAAATGTTGGTTTTGAGGAGAGGGGAAAACCGGAGTACCCGGACAAAAACCTCTGGGAGCAGAGTAGAGAACCAACAACAAACTCAACCTACAATAACGCCGGGCCCGGGAATCGAACCCGCGACACATTGGTGGGAGGCGAGCGCTCTCACCACTGCGCCATCCCTGCTCCCCATATTGTTCTCATAACATTCAAATAAAGAAAACAAAATGTAGTTAAAAAATACTGCTGTGTGTTTTAAAATATAGAATTGCAAGGGCCTTTTCACAGTACTGATAAAGGCCCGCTGAACTGCATTTATTCCTTGGCACCCAACCTGACTTGCTTTTGGTCGCTCAAAACGTTATGGCGTCATTGTTACTGACGTCAATATTGGCCAATTGTTCGAAGAGCGGCCGGATAGCGAACTATATCCAGCGGATAAATGCCACCCCGACGATAGGTCTTAATTATCAACAATACAGATCATGTAATAGATGAACTTTATTCTCTGGATACCGACGTATAGATATTAACTTATCTGTGTGAAGTGGTCGAATCACGAGCAAATCTTAAGAGGCGCTTAAGCACCACTAAGAAGTCATCAACTGGTTATAATTTTCCTTTCCTTTCGTGCCCAACAGTTGACAAACAACAACTTGTTTGTTGTCATGGTGACGCGGTTAATCAATACACTTGCGGTATCAAATATCGCAAACCATTCAACACCAAATATCGCAAACCATTGAATACCAAATATCGCAAACTAAACGAAAGGACCAATTGTTTAATAACACTTTGGTTAGGTGATTAGTATTTCGTGCAGCTTGAAATTCCGCAAGATTTTTCTTCCCAAAATTCGGGTTTTTAGGTTTGTGTTTGAGCTATTAAAAGATCGAAGCCAAATTGTTAACAGTCGATATCTTGCCCCACACAACGCTCCAAAGTCGGGGCTCTCCCACACGCAAAATTGACTTGCATGAGAAAAAATAGTAGCTCAAGTGAAACGCTAACAAGTTAATTTATATTCAACCAAACGCCGCACTATTTCTGGGAGAGTATATACCCAGTATATAGCATCTAGCTGGCGATCATCAGTGAAATGTCAAATAAAAGAGAGGCCAAGATATTTCGATCAGTCTGCTGGTAACAGCGATAGCTCAAACATCTTTTTTATTCCGCCATTTCATAAAAACAAGCAACATCAGAATTCATATCATACATGAAATTTTTGAAACCAAAAACTGAAGAAATTTCTCTTGGCCTGACTGCAAGAATTTTTTCGCTTTTTTGCGGGGTATGATTTAGCTTTGGATGGCTTTTCTTTCGGAATTTTTTTTTTCACTTTAAGTTGAAAAGACTGACATTTTCTGAAGGCTGTTAGATTGCTAGTATACTGTCAATTCTTAGTTTTAAAAGAGCATTAATTTAATACCAACCCCTTCCCCCCTTATTTTAGCCTAACACCTACCTTACCCTAACAAAAAAGTAATCAGTAAGAGATCACATGACTATAAGTGTGATACATTTTAATGACCTTTGCTCCCCTCCCCCCCACTACGAGTCATCCAGTGCCGACTCTTTTGAGTAATTAAATCGCTCTGGCAACAGTTGAATAAATCCTGTTTGAAACATATTGTATATCTGTAGGGATAGTGAAGTCAACAAAATGAAGAGTGATTATCATCTTGAGGGGGATTTCTTTATTTTGTGATCGATATGGAATTGTTTTTGTGTGTTTTTTTTTGTCTTTTGCTAATTTTTATTGTCAATAAGCGGACAGACAAATGAATTTATGATTTATGCGACACACCAAAGAGCGAGAGCGGTCAATTCCCGGGGGTCAATTTGACAATTTGTTATCGTAAGAAACAAATTGCCGCAGCTTTTCATGGATCTGTCCTGTTATTGACAATGAATTTCGTCACAACATTGTCAAAGTAGTCTGTGGATCCACTCGGCTATCGCCCTGTCGATCCACAGTTACTTTGACAATGTTATGACGAAATTCATGGTCAATAACAGGACAGACGCAGGAAAAACTGCTGTCAATTTGTTAAACCTTTGAGAGAGTGAGTCTGAGACTCGTTTCAAACACCAATCTATTCTGAGGGAAAGATAACTATTCCTGTATCGCCTGTTCAGTCACCAAGTCTATCACCTATATTACGAGACTAAGTAAATATTCCTGCATATACAATTTTTTTCCTTGGGAGCGCGCGAGCGACAGAGCAATCCCATGGAGTAACGCTCGTTCAATTCCCGGGGGTATTTTTTCCTGTGACTTCGACAAAGTTAAAAGAGGATAAAGACCGTGTATGGACAGACTACACAACTAAGTGAATCTTCGTGAAAATGATGAAACGGTGACGTTGTTTGTTTAAATTTATCAATACGGCCAAGATCATCGCAGTAAAGATCCGGCGCGATTGGAGCCCATGACTTTTGCGACCAGTGGTGTTGCGTTCAGACAACTGAATCCTCAAGCCAGCTGGGAGATACATATTCTCCAGTAGTGTACATAACTGCCATGATCTTTGCTGTTGTATAACTTTCTCCCGTAGTTAAAACATATGATGTATTTGCTTGCTTGTCATCACCATCTAAGGCTATATTAGACTCACAAAACCAGTCAAGAATTCGAGTCGCGTGAATTTAATTTCAGGCATACATTATTTCCGAAACTGCCTAAGTCGTGGTACTAGCTGTGATGACTTTCTTGAAGAACAACAAATAAAGTTTAGCGAAACAACTGTGAAAACGCCCCAAAATGAAATCTCAGAAAGTATTTTAATAACACCTTTAGAGGCGAACAAAAGCTGTCGTCACGGACGCATTTAACTCGAACCCAAGGTTTGCCAAACCAAAATTTTTAAGGAAGCCAAAGATACGGTAACTGAAAATAAATAAAACCTAATGAACATAAAGTAACTAACAAAATCCGACACGAATATAACGTAAAATAACCTAATCCGAACTAACAAAGATACTTACAAGACGAATGTGACGGCGAAGGAAACCAAACCAAACCGATTTCTAGAAATACAATATTGCCCAAACTCGACCGATCTTCACTGAAAGGACGCAAAACTCACCAGAAATAGATTTGCATGCGGTAGATATATACAGTATGCTAAAAAGGTAACAAGTACAACAGTGGAAAAAATAGAAGACACTAATTACGCAAAGGAAAAACAAAGACCTACTACTATAATCAAAGTTGCTATAAGGCACTCAACTTGGAAAATGGATCGTCTGTAAACAGTGACAATTTTGATGTCACTGACTCGAGGTTTTAAGTTACAGCGGAATATCAATCACACGCGACCTTCAGCGCAAAAAAAGTTTAGACAAAACCTAACTTTTGGTGGACGTCAATCATCTCCGCCTCCTTGCCGACTGTATGCAAAATTTACCTGAAAGCGAAACCCTGCAGCGGTCCACTCGTAAAAATTATCATTTTACTTTCGGTATGTAAGGCTAGATCACTAACTACATCCTTGAAATCTAT